ATATTTTATCTTTTTTAAAATACATTTTTCATCAGAGCATGCTGGCTCATGCCTGTAGTCCCAGCTACTTGGGAGACTGAGGCAGGAGAACGGCTTGAGCCCAGGAGTTTGAGGTTGCAGAGAGCTATAACGACACTGTACTGTAGCCTAGGGAATAGAGCAAGATCCCATTTCAAAAAAAAAAAAAAAAAACCAAAAAAACCCAGCAGGAGTTAAAAAAAAAAATACATTTTTCACAGTACAAGTTTTAACTTTAGATCTGATGCAATAAGGTACAACTGCAGATTTTGAATTCCAAAGCATAATTTATCTCCAGAGTAGTTGTCACTACCTTAAGGAAAATAATCTAATGGGTCTTTTGGCGAACGAAGAAAAGGTTCCTGGAGTACAGCCTTAATTGACACAGAAAAACAAGGAGAGAACTGAATTTCTCTGCAGGATAAAGCAAAATGAAATTTGAGATCTCCCGAGACCCCTGGAGGAAGGCGTAAGAGACCTGAGGAGAAATACTCGAAAGATGTAAAGAAAGGCATCCAACACCATGGCAGAAAGCTGGGCCTACAGAAGAAAGAATGTCTTGTGACTAATTCCAAGATAAGTTGTTATCTGTTGAAGGATGTGCCCTGCTCCCTCTCAAAATCAGAGTGGAGGTCAACTTACTCTCTGCCCTGTGTTTGGTTAATATGCAAGTGTACATCATGGATCTGCATGAATGGAGCGTGGTATACAGCATTTACCAAACTGACCTGTGTCATGAAGAGTTAAGAGTCATGAAAACATCAGACACATTGGTGGAAATAAAACACACAGATGGATGTACGGGGAGAAGAGATTAGGGCCCTAACAGCTGGTCCCAAAGCCAACTTTTCTGAGGCTCTGTCCTGTCTTTATACTTTGTCTACTATGCTCACTGTGTCTCATTCTAACACCTGAATTCATCGTGCTTTGGCACACATAATCTCTAAGGATTTTTGGTTTTTTGTTTTCGTTTTTTGAGACAAGGTCTCACTCTAAAACCCAGGCTGGAGTACAATGGCCTTATCATAGCTCACAGCAACCTCGAAATCCTGGCCTCAAGCGATCCTCCCACCTCAGCCTCCCAAAATCCTAGGACTACAGGTGTGAGCCACCACACCCGGCTGGATTTTGGTTCTGAGGATAATTTTCTTGTTATAATCTAATCTTCCATTCTTAAATCATCATTTATACCATCACCAAGCACAACACCAAAGGGATATTTTATCCAATTTTCCAAGAAGACTTAGTTTACCACCATCTCCCCAACCATTATGTTTTTTACTACCTCTGATGACTGCTGTCCCAAATGTCGTATTGATTATATCCATTCCTTTAGGTAATCCTGGTGCTTGATCATGAGATTTTCCTAATGGTGCTCGTTGATTGCTAAAATATATAGATTCTTTTTTATCTTTGATTTTCTGATGAAATGTGGTAATTGGCTGTGGGTTTATCAATGTATTTGCCTAAAGAAATCATACAATACACAGATGTATCAAAAAAAAAAAGTGTGAATCTGAAAACTGAAACCCTAATCAATAACTGGGGAGAGGAGATTATATGATTGTGGAAAAACATTGCATTATCATTATCATCATTGGCTTTGCTTACCTTCAGAGGAACTGTTGCAATTGGGATTATGAAGTTTAAACATGCCTAAACAACAACTTTCAAAGGAGTTAAAAGTTTTCAATAATACTAAAAGGTTTATGAGAGGAGCTCCCAGCTTACCTGACTCAAATATTCAAGACAATTGAAAATGACAAAGAAAAAGAACCAAGTAACTTCCAAAAGTTCTCTCCAGATATATAGGTTAGGTATATATCAGATATATATCTGAATGTAGACTATCCACTCATTCTGACCCCATCTCCACTCAATGTCTATTTCAGTACTCTGTAGTGCCTCTAGGCAAGAGTCACCAAGACTGTCCTCCTTAGTGTCTAACAAAGTGTGAAAGTGGCCGGGTGCGGTGGCTCACGCCTGTAATCCTAGCACTCTGGGAGGCCGAGGTGGGCGGATTGTTTGAACTCAGGAGTTCGAAACCAGCCTGAGCAAGAGCGAGACCCCGTCTCTACTAAAAATAGAAAAAATAGCCGGGCATGGTGGCGCATGCCTGTAGTCCCAGCTACTCGGGAGGCTGAGGCAGTAGGATCGCTTGAGCCCAGGAGTTTGAGGCTCCTGTGAGCTAGGCTGACGCCATGGCACTCACTCTAGCCAGGGCAACACAGTGAGACTCTGTCTCAAAAAAAAAAAAAAAAACAAAGTGTGAAAGCATTTCTCTTTATTGTGAGAAAATGGAATGCAACTCAGCTTTTGTCATCTGACGGGAGAATAGTTTGTGACTTAAACCATTAATTTCTTCACAGTCTCTTGGCTGCTGCTGCTTGGTTTTTCAACCACTCAAGATTAGTGCTTTTGAAGGACAGGTTGAGGAAAGCCTGGTAAAAATACAAGTGGGAAGGATATTGGAACTGATGAATTTCATTAATACTTCATTTGTGTATTTTTATTTTGGTAAATTAATAACGGACAGGCAAAAAAAGAAAAGAAGTTACCGATAATGAAATGTTAGATCTTATTCCGTGTGTCAAATAACGGGCGATTTGGGGATCATTTGCTCTGCCATAAAATACTCTTTCTGCTCCAGCAGGTGGATATCTGAAGTCGAAATACTTTTTTGCTGCAGGTGGAGTAATTAGCTACAAAGAGTGAGGCAAGAAAATAGAATTATTAAGTACAGTTTTTAAAATATTAACAGGATTGGTCTATACCAATCAATGAACACCCTTAATTGTAAGTGTGTAGTAAGTGCATGGGGAACTACTATCCCCAAATAATGAAAATTCCCCTAAAATTTATTGGTTTATTAATGGAGGTAAACAACATATTTTAAATGTTATATTTAGAAAACAACCAGGAAATATCCAGGTTAGAAAGCATACTATTATTCCTGTCAAAATAAATTGAATCCCTTATAGTTTTTTTTCTTTTTTCTTTTTTTGAGACAGAATCTCACTCCATCACCCTGGCTAGAGTGAGTGCTGTGGCGTCAGCCTAACTCACAGCAACCTCAAACTCCTGGGCTCAAGCAATGCTCCTTGCCTCAGCCTCCCGAGTAGCTGGGACTACAGGCACAAACCACCATGCCCAGCTAATTTTTTTCTATTTTTAGTAGAGATAGGGGGCCTTGCTCTTGCTCAGGTTGATCTCTAATCCCTAAGCTCAAGCTATCCTCCCGCCTCGGCCTTCTGGAGTGCTAGGATTACAGGCATGAGCCACCACACCGAGCCGTCCTTGTAGTTTTTGTAGAGCTAGAAATTATAAGCCTGGAATTTTCATTTCCTTGGACAAAATCAACAGAAAGCCTCAAAATACAGTAAAGAATCCAAATTGGCCAATTGACCACTTTCATAAGGAATGTTAAAAGTTGTCTATATCTTGATGTTCATATGCAAGGTAAAATAGAAACATAAAAGCATATTGAATGTGCTCACCCTGGGAAGTTTTTCAGTCAAGCAGGTTGCAACTCTGTAACCAACTGGAATAACTTTCCCTGCCTAAGGGGGGAAAAAAACACAAAAAACAAAAAACAATAGTTGATCACTCTCAGGGTAGAAGAGGAACATTTTGAAAAATGAAATTTATTTCAAACTTGTCATATGCTTCTGATACTACAAAGTTACTTTCAACTACTTAATACAAGAAAAAAGGAAGAATGAATAGTAAATCTCAAGCAATCTTCATATATAAAATAAACAGTAAATATTAAATATATATGTAATTGTAAGCATACTTTTTTATAACACTAGCAATGTTAGTGATTATTCCAATTACAGTACCTCTGTGACATGTTGAGGAATTTAATTTTCAGAAACAATCTTGTCATAGTTCACAGGTTAATTATTTACTGTCCTGTATGAACAGTGAAATGGAAGTATAGCCACATTCAGGCTAAGATCAAGAGAAAGTGTTGAGTATGTCTGAATGTGTGTAGATGTGTTTGTATGTGGGTGTATTTCCACCAACACATTAACTTTGCATGTGCAGGCATCTCACTACTGGCCCAGACCCTTCAGTGAATAGCCCAAGTCTCATTTGGCCTTGTCCACTGGATTCTACCTTGGGTCTTATCTGTCCTTCCTTTGCCCAAGGCAAAGATTATAATTGTTCACTCTCAGAAATGCAACTCTTATCTATCTTTCTCTTTATCTGTTTCAAGACAGCTGATAGTTACTTTTGCAATGTGTAAGTTTCTTTTTAAAAAACTAAGAGAAAGAAACTTCCCATAGTGTTCTGGATCTCTGGAGAGAGAGAGAGAAAGAGGAGGGGGCAGAGAGCAGAGAAAAACAGAGAAATTAAGAGTTGAGTGGAGTGGATGGATGAATGTGTAGATGTGGGTTGGCAAGGAATGAATAGATTAGATAAATGGAAGGATGAATGAATGAACATACAAATAAACAAACGGATCTATGTGAGTAGGTGAAAGTTTTGTTATGTTAAGTGTTGAGTGCAGAATTCTTCTTAGGGAGAGAGCCGTCAGGGTTTAAGATAGTATCTTGATGACATCTCTGGGTATAAACGAGGAAGCCCTCAGACATGACCAGGCAGAGAACTGATTTGTTTTGCTAAAAAATGGAAGAAAATATGAACTTCTGATGGGGTAGCCTAAGAAGGAAGGATTCAGGATATGGTAGATAAATTGAGAAGGTGAGGGGAGGCCAATATCTAGTAACAGGGTGACAGGCCAGGAGGCCCGAGGTGGGAAATCGGCCAGTGAGAAGCAGCCTAGATTTAATGCCAAATTGAGAGTAAATTCTACTTACATAATTTTATTATGTGAGAACTTTGTATAAAAAAGGAATAACTTGGGCTAAAGCAGGGCAGAGTAGAGGGGGCAGGGATACAGTGAGATTTTTTTTTAATTTGGCTAGAAATTATAAGAAATCTCAGTGATACCAGGGAATGTTGTCTCTCTCACTATACTTTGGATAGAAACTCAAGTCATTTTTAAAAATATTCTGAAAGAGATCAGAATAATGCCATACCAAAATATGCCACTTTGGCATAAAGATTATTTTGAGCTGAAGGCAACTGAGAATCAACAGGTGCCGGCAGAATTCTCTGGCTTCCCCTTATTCTGCTTAAAAGCAGAGAATAAATTTCCTTTTGGGAAGGTGACTCCAGCAGCCAAAAAACAGAAAGAGAAAAGCAACTCTTATCATCTGAGAGGGAGAGTTGACCTAGATGAGTTTGCATAAACAGACCTTACTAAAATATCCCTTATCTTTTTATTTATGTATTTATTTATTTATTTATTGGGGTTTTTTTGAGACAGAGTCTTGCTCTGTTGCCTGAGCTAGAGTGCAGTGGCATCATCATAGCTTACTGCAACCTCAAACTCATCGGCTGAAGCAATCCTGCGTCAGCCTCCCAAGTAGCTGGGACTACAGGTTCACACCACCATGCCCAGCTAATTTTTTCTATATATTTTTGGTTGTCCAGCTAATTTCTTTCTATTTTTAGTAGAAATGGGGTCTCACTCTTGCTCAGGCTGGTCTCGAACGCCTGACCTCAAGTGATGCTCCTGCCTTGACCTCCCAGAGTGCTAGGATTATAGGCATGAACCACCACACCTGGCCTTCTCCTATTAATCTGTTCTTTGTTAGTTTAATTCACAGGTCCCCAGTTATTGAACAAAAGGGGGTAGAGGAAATGTTTTCTCTCCCTAACAATTCAATGGAAAGGTAACTCCATAAAGCTGAAGAACTTGGGGATACCTAGGCAGCTACCATCTGGGTGATAGATGGTTAGATAGATAGAAGAAAGGATAGATTGATTGATGGATAGATAAATCCATGGCCTGACTGATAATTTTATTTGTTCCTGGCTAGCTTCCCTTCTAAGTGTTTGCCAATGGATATCCTATATCTCCATCATGGCAAATATTCTACTGGACAGCAATGTCTTGGTATTCAACACAGAGGTGCCCAGATGAAAAGCAGTTTGATTGCAAATCAGTAGTTGTGATCAGGTTTCTATGCTGTCATGTTTTTTATTAGGGACACATACACAGAAGCCATTTATGTCTGTTTTCTGTCTATAGTGTCTTAGTATGTTTGAAAAGTCTCCCTGCCCCCTACCTCAGTCATGGGTCCCTCTGATTTTATCTTCCAATCCTCTATAGAATTTTTATTTAGATTATCATATTTAAGTTCTGAAAAGTTCTTTCTTCTTCTCTAATTGTTCTTTTAAAAGGTCCAATCTTGTTTTACAGATGCAACATCTTATGTCTCTCAGGTAATCTCTCTTGTTTGTTTACATTCTGTTCCCTCTGGGTATGTTTGTGTATATATTTTCTTTTTCTTTATCTTTTTTTTTTCAGAAACTGATGTTCATCACATTTCCGATCAACTTTATTTCCATCTTGTTTAGGAGCCTGTGGAAGAACAGCTTAAGACCACTCGGTGGTTGTTCCTACTCATTCAGTGGCCTGAGCAGTGGGAGCTGCAGACAAGTCTTCCATGGCAGGCTGAGTGCTCCAGTCATCCGGAGAGAACTGCTGAATAGGCATAGAAGGCACCTGTAGGCCTTTCAGACCAGTCAGCAGTTTTAGGCTAGGTAGCAGTAAACTCAGGAGCTAGAGCATTCTGTCAATTCTGAAATTCCTCCTTGGTCACAGCCTTTTCAGCAGCTGCCTGCTCTTTCTTTTCACTCTCATCAGGATCTCCGTAGAAGTAGAGATCAGGCATGACCTCCCACAGGTGTTTATGGGAGATGGTTCCATGCATGCACCAGGCCAGTATCCACATCAGACCCACTGAGGCAGCTCCCTTGTTGTTGCATGGGATGGCGATGTCCACGTAAGGCAGAGGAGAATCTGTGTTGCACAGAGCAATGGTGGGCAGGTTAACATAAGACATCTTTGTGAGAGGCTGGAGGTCAGTTCTGGGATCTGTAACCACCAGAAGATGCAGCTCCTGAAAGGCTGCCTGGTTCTGGTTAGTGAAGTCTCCAGGAGTGCAGTGACTGCAACAGGAGTGGCTCCAGTGGCAAAGGCAAACTTCAGCACAGCTCGCTGGCCAGTGTTCCCAGAGGATATGACACTGACATCAGCAAGGTTTTCAATGGCAACAGTGGCATGAGCTGCCAGTAGAGGCTTCTCCCAGGTCCTCTTCAAATCTATGATGTAGATGCCATCACTTTTCCTTTTGTAGATGTACTGTTCCATTTGGAAGTCGAGGTTGGCGCCACCTAAGTAGATTCCTGCTGTAAGAAATTTGAGGACATCCTCCTCCTTCATTTGCAAGACATCAAGGGCTCGAGACATTATGAAAGCTTATCCCTGGGTATCACAGAAAGCTGTGTATATGTTTTCTGTTAGCTTGTTGTGGCATTCCCTTTCAAACTGGAGTCTAATCGTTCATATTAAAACATTAGGCACTACAAAGGTAATTAGTATGTTGCGTGTCGCTGTGTGTGTTGTGTGTGTTGCAAGATTTGTTTATTCTTTGGCTTTGCTGTAGGGTGACCAGGTGATGAGGCAGCCTGTATTTTGGGAGGGTCCCCAATATCATTTTTTCTACCTTTAGGCTGTTCAGATTTCCAGAGAATGGTGATAACAGCTGGCACTTACAAAGCACACAGCATGTGCTAGACATAGATCCAAGCATTTTATATGTATTAACTCATTTAATACTCATAATGATCTCCATGAGGTTGGTACTGATATCATCACCATCTTCACTGTGAGCAAATGGAGGCCTAAAGAGTTTGAGGAACAGGGTGACATAGCTTATTTATTGGCAGATATTTGTTTCATTTTCTTCTTTTTTATTTGTTTTTTGTTTTTTTCTTTTATAATGCAGTTATATGACAATATTGGCAGATATTTGAATCCAAGTAGGCTGGCTTCCAAATCTCTATTCTTATTTATGATGTTCTACTGCCTCTCTAAGCATTGCCCATTGTCTAGAGGGCTGGCTTGACTCCTGGCTACTGGCCCTCCAAGAGCCCAGTGGGAGAGGAAGCTAGAGGAAGTGCCTTACAGAAAGTATACTTTTACTTATTAAGATCCCTATTTTCAGCCAGGAACTGCCCCTCTGCTTGACCTTGGGCTTGATAACTCTAAAAACCCCTTTGGGAAAATAAATCCACAGTTTTGGTGAAAGGAGTTGGAAACTGATGTGGAAAAATAGGAAGTCAAGGGTTGCATAGGAAAGAGGAAAACTGGGTATTCAACTGTCCTGAACTTTCAACCGATCCTTCTATTTTCCAACCCAAGCTTTACTACAGCTTCCAAGTGCTGACCCTCTGAGGAATTATTCCAGGCAAACTGGATCATTTCAGGTGGGAATAGCCATCTGATTTCCCTCAAATTTTATTTTTTCCCTCCTCAGCTAAACCAGTTGCCATATCTCCATCTTCCTATTTTCTTCCACCCCTCCCCTCCCCTCCCCTCCTCTCCCCTTCGTTTCCTCTCCCCTCCCTTCCCTTCCCCTCCTTTCCCTTTTCTTTCTTTTTTATGTTTAGAGACAGGGTCTCTGTCACCCAGGCTGGG